TGCGATTTAGTGTGTGTAGTACGTAATAAAGTGTTATCAGCATCTTTCGTTTCGTAAAAAGTGTAATCTCACGTGCAACACGTGTTCAGGATAGAATTTAGACAATATTTTTTTTGCTTCACGTAGTGTCACTGTGCGACCGGGAAGCGACGGCGTGCACGGTCGGTTAATAGTAGTCAATTTTTATTGAGATCAATATCGTTTTACAAAGTAAAAATCTAGCCGACTGTGCGGTTTGAAGGCTCTTTTGGTATAGTTAAAATTATGGCTGATCAAAGTAATGCTAAACCTTGTAAAAGGTGTAAGAGCGTGGCAGGTACTGGTCTATTGTGTATCAAGTGCGGCACGATATCGCATAAATCGTGCGTGAAAATCATGAAAAACACGAAAACTTTAGGAGGCGACAAGATTGATTGCTGTTCCTACGGAGGCGAATCCTTGGAGTCGGGTCCAATTCCTGATGATTCGGGAGCAAACGCTCCATTTGATGCCGCAAAAGAAATCATGTATTTAAAAGAACTTTTGAAGCAAAAAGATCTTGTTATCGAGAATCAAGCCATAGCCATTACCGCTTTAAAAGAACAGGTGAGCCTACTAAAAAGCAGCAGACTCCTTGAAGGGCAAACTCTGGATTCTGCAAATAGGGCTAAATCATCACAGACAGGTCCAATTAAGCAAAACGCCCCCAAGTCGGAGCACCTGAATAAAATTACAAATAGAGAACTATCTAGTGCAATCAGTGAGGCTGTGTCACGTCAGATATGCTCTGAAATGATAGAACTGGATGGTGGGTCCAAACGCAAAAGTTCCAGAGTCCTAAACGATAGAGTCAAACCGCTTAAAGGATCTCTTAGCGATAACTCTAAATGTGCACTTCGAGTTGCTAAACGTAAAATCAGTTTTCACATTACTAAACTGCATCCGAATACCAAAGCTGAGGAGGTCCGACAATATCTAGCACCGATAGTTAGTGGAGTAGAAGTGTTCCAGGTCCCATCAATGTATCCTGAGAGTTACTCCTCATTTAGGGTATCGGCCATGGATCACGAAGCGCAAAAAATTCTGGATACTTCCATCTGGCCCACGGGTGTGTTGATAAATCATTTTTTCCCAAGGCGTCTGACAAGAGAAAAAACCGATCCAATTCCAGTATCAACAGAGAGACGTTTAGTGAGTGAGAATCCCGACCCAAGACTACCGATGGAGGTAGGAACAGCATTAATATCTTGAGCTACAATGTGCAGGGTCTCCTAAGTAAACTCGATGTGGTTACTGAATATCTAAATTCTATTGGTTTTGACATTGTATGTTTCTGTGAACATTTTGTAAATGGTGAATAATATTATTAAGGTTCACAATTATAAATTAGTTGGATATTATTGTCGTCTCAGTACCTCCAGAGGAGGAACTGCTATATATGTTAAAAATAATATTGCCTGTAGCAGTCTTAATCTGAGTAAATATTGTCTGGATCTTCACGCAGAGTTTTGTGGTGTGGAGATACCAGTGCTTAATCTTATTTTAATCAATGTTTATCGCTCTGGCTCTAGAGGCAATTTTTCTATATTTGTAGAAAAACTTGAACTCTTGCTCGCTGAAAGCTTAATATTTTGACCTTACCATCACTTTTTATTTACTATACAGTCACTCTCATACATGAGCTAAAGAACGATATGCCTAAGCACTGTGATCGCCACAATCACTACACCAGGGGATCTGAATGAATTAATTGTCCAGGGCCATTCTAGGCTGCGCACATCCGAGTTAAATAAATTTTACATTAATTACTACAATGTTCTACCAACCGTTGTCAAGGATCTGCCATTCACTAAATTTTGTAATATAATAAAACAATTTCTATTGGAGAACGCATTCTATACTGCAGATGAGTACATCCGTGTTGCGTCACGAGTGTCTCCATAATACTAATTGGGAATTTATTTATTTATTTATTTACTTTTTTTTTACCTAATTTTTGTTTCAATGTTTGGTGTTTGTCTATCTGATAATTATGTTGCTCTCTATGAATGTTATTAGAATGTGTTTGATATTGTGACTTGCCATTTGTTGTTCTTGTAATGTATTTAATGGCCAATAAAGTCTAAAGTCTAAAGTCTATCATTATTATTATTATTATTATTATTATTATTATTATTGTTGTTCTTGTTGTTCTAGTAAAGTCTAAAGTCTATTATTATTATTATTATTATTATTAATATGTTGATACGTGCCAATGAGAACCGTAACACAGGGTACTCAGGCAAGTATATTTAATTTGTAGCGATAGATCAACACTAACAAAATTAGGGGAATGTAATTCTGTCAGTCTGGTTTGAATATCAGCAATGTTGATTGTTTGCAGCTCAAGTTATTTTTGAGATATCAAATATATCAAAATATCAAAATAAAAAAAATTTACTGCAATAACTTGGATTGAATACACATTGTTCGAGATATTTGCATTGTAATACAATAACATTCACAAAATGTTATGGCACATTGATCCTTTATTTAATTTTCCTTTTTGTATATCAATTGAAATGGTAGGATTTACATATGACATTTCCAACCGCATTTTACTATTCCCTGAAGTGTGCAATCTTACTTTCATTAAACTGATTTTATATCTGTTATATATTCGTCAAAATAGACGAAGATATTTTGGAGGATGATTCCTTGTAAAAAAATATGAAAGAAATGCTAAAAAGTGACATAATAGTAACAATAATAGTCGTTACGATATCTCCCGGGACGGCACTGGACATCTCAATTATTATGTAGTTCAAGCAAAATTAGTCCTTTGCCGTTATAAATGACGTTGCCATATTTCAACAAAATTCACAAAAAATATCTAACATGTTTCTTGTTTTAATGGTCAACACTCTGTATCTTGAAAATACTGCATTTTGCGCACCCATATTTGTAAAATAGTTTTTTTCATATTTTGTGACAACCAACCGTCCTCTAATTTCTCTCTAATCTATTGTTCAAGCGCCCTGTATAAATATGTTTAATTTAAATCTATTATATATTTTGAAGTTAAGACTTTAAAGTACAGCTTGTTTGCATATCTTGAATGTATCACAAACACGATATAAGCAAATTGTCATTTTATGTTTTTTACACATAAGTTTGTACACAAAAATATACAGATGCCCTCAGCAAAGTTGACATTATTTATTTAAATCTAAATAAATCAAAAACAATGAAATTCTGAGTCAGACTGAGGTGGCTTTTACTTCATGAAAATTCATTGAACACAAATTAAATTAGAACAAAAAATGTTCAGATTTTCACAGTTTTTAATGCTTTATGACAACTGTTTCGGCAACAAAGTGCCTTTATCAAATACAAAATATGACTATATTCCGACCCTTATATATAAAAATAGGTAGTAATAGATTTCTAATTACAGGTATGGGGTTAAAAATTCCTCCTAAGGCAATTGACCATAATAAACATAATAGACAATATTCTCACGCAGAGACAAGTTAAATCTATCATAAAACAAGACTTGCTAGATAGTTTGTTTAGACCAAAATTATTTTGAATTTAATGGTCAATTTTATATTGCTAAAGAAAACCCAGTAAGTCCACTACTTGCAGAAATTTTCATGGACAATTTAGAAAATATTATACATAAACATCCTTTGAGTAAAGCATTTCTCTGGGGGTATAGATACGTAGATGATGTTTTTGTTTGTTTCAGTGGAACCGAAAGACAACTGCAGCCAGTTTTGAATCATATTAACCCGATACATAACCGCATAAAATTTACCATAGAGACGAAACAAGATAACTCTCTAACCTTTCTGGACTTATCTATAACTAAACTACAGAACCAGTTAGGTTTGTGCATTTACCATAAACCCTAACACACAGACACAATAATTCTTAATAACTCAAATCACCCTTACACACACAAAATGTCTGTCTTTTATGCTTTTATCAACAGACTACTTAATGTACCACTGTCTACAGATGATTTTAAAAAAGAATTAAATATTATGAAACAAATAGCTTTTAACAATGGTTACGATCCCTCTTTGATAGATAAGATTATAACTAAAAAGCAGTTTCAAATGACTCTGAACTCTATCCCATATTAAATACCGAAAATAAAATTTATAAAACAATAAAATACATATGAGAATCTAGCAAGAAAATTTCGAAATATCTATCTAAATTTGGTATTAATACTGCTTTTAAAACTGAAAACACCCTAGGACATTTTCTAAAAAAACAATAAAACTAAATTACGAAAAACTCAAAAATGCGGAGTCTACAAGTTTAAATGTGGATCTTGTCCCAAAATTTATATCGGACAAATAGGTGGAACATTTAAGAAAGGCATTAACGAACATAATAATAACGAATATGCCATTCATTTAAATTTAGAAATGCACCAAATTTGACTATAATTTTGATATTTGTCATAATGAAACAAAAAGCAAGACACTTAAATTTATAACCCTGCTAATTATATATACCTGTTTATATATACGAGTACAGATGATAATTTTGATATTTTACAAAATCATTCAAAAAGCAGAAAACTAAATTTGTTGGATGCTATGGAGATTAACAAAATTAGATATTCAAATTTATTACTTAATGACCAATTGGATTTAAATGCGTCTCCGTTGTTAAATTTAAATTTATAACCCTATACCTGTAATTAAAAATCTATTACTACTTGTTTTTATATATGTGTCGGAATATAGGCCTATTTTGTATTTGATAAAGGCACGGTATTGGGGAAACAGCTGTCATAAAGCATTAAAAACTGTGAAAATCTGAAAATTCTGGATGCTAGATTAAGAGATTTAGCCCTGCAGTGCGCTATTAAGGTGGGATAAGTAAGTTTATGAAGAGGAATTAATTCTTTGTTTGCATTAGACATCTAAACCTGAAACAAAAATCTGCTTATTCTGAATTTTAGAAACCAAAAATATCGTTACAAAAAAGTGATGCAAACTAAATAAATCGTATTGTTTCAGTATCGCGAGGCCCTCCGATCGGAGCTATCACCACGATCCACCACGACAAACCAGATTCGGTAACCATTTCGACTTCGAAGTCCGCAACGTCCTCCGAAGCAGTGACGACGGCTAATCTCGAAGTAGTAAACGTCACTCTCACGCCCTCCGAACGGAAAAAGAGGCTTTTGCCATACGAAAATTTCTACCTGGAGCAATCTTTCAACGCGCCGCATCGTGACTCCGTATACATGCAACAATATAAGAATTACGACGAGATCATAAGCACCAAAAAGAAAGTGAAATATCAGCCGGTCAGAATCAAAACCAAGGACGGCGATTCTGTGAGCCGGCCTAGTCAAAAATTCACGCCGTTCTTGGAAAGTAACGCCCTGCCTGGACCCTTCAGGTAGTTGTTTATTCAAATCGCTTCCATTTTCTGCTCTGATCGTTTCCAATGCATGCGTTATAAATTTTCTGCAAGAACGGAACACATATTCAGATATCCTAGGAAAAAGTAACCTCTCAATTAACAATCTATCTATCTCTATGAACAGCTGTTGAATAACTGGACAGAAAGGTTGGAAGATTTGTTTAAAAAAGGTAAGACAATTGATGAAAAACATCTTGAAACTTGTAGGAACACTTGTTCGTTAGAATATATCTGCCATCTCTTCCGCAATGCTCAAAAAAGACGGTAATTCTTCAACACTCTAAATTTGCTCAACTCGCTATCGAGCCACCTTTTTGAAACATTTTACAGGAAAATGTTCCAATTTTGTGCATTTCCTCTGTTAGCTGTGTATCTTGTAACATTAAAGAGGCATTATATAAATTATTTTCCAGACCAATGATTAAAAACAATGGCCAGCCTATAACCATCGAATACGTGTCTTTAAATGCTCCGCCTACATTCATCGAAGAACACGAAATACCCATCAACCAAGAAAAAGACCGCCCGAATTTGAGCTCAATCTACGAAACCCTGTCCCAGCTGAAACTGAGACAGCAAGAGCTGAGAAAACCGCCTTACGGGTACCGATTGGTGCCACCTCCTAGATACCAAAATCACCCTCCAGAGGTTAAACAGCATCGTGGCAATCAACGCATACCAGATTCCCTTAGATACAAGATACAACCCTCAAAAACTACCATTGAGACGTTCACGGCAACGAATATCGATATCACAGGACCCGGGGATGCTGAGAAAGGCTACGATTTCGTACCTTCGAGGTAAAAAAAGATTTTTCTAAAGTGAACAGGAAGTTTCCATCGTTATTTTTCAGATACGTGCAGCAGGTGCCGACTCCCATCAAAGAAAATCAAGAACCCAAGAGTAACTACGTACAGTACAGCAAGCCTCTCGTGCACCATCAATTTGTTATAGAAGTGCCAAAATCAAGTTACCCGGTGCCTGACAACTCGCGCAAGCCACAGCCTCCGAAGCAGAGGCCTCAAAATCCGAACATTTACGTTCAAAGGAAGCCGGAGAGGAAACCTTTAATAATTTTACGGAAGCCGCAGCCGATGGCAGTGGTAGAGGAAAATTATACTGCTGATAAGGTATTCACGTGGTGTGGTGGTGTTACAAAAAAGTAGGTCAATCGTCTAACGATATATTCTTATAGATGTGATCTTCCATATGTCACTTCCCATTTGAATGATTTGTTTTTCTATACACAGATTTTGTTTATAAGGTTCTCATAACAAATCAGGATCAATTAATTAATTCTAATCCTAGAAGTTGGAGCAGAATTCAGATTGCAACCAAATATTTTCCAAAATATTCGGATTAAGACGGTAGATATAGGCCGCCCCATTTTAATTAATAGAACAAATCAAATTTTTTAAAAATCGGAAGGCATGGATACATAAATAAAAACATGTCGTAAGGAAAGCCAAATAAAATTTTTTACAAAGAGACAAGAGACAAAAAGCTAAGCAAACCATCAACCAAACTGCAAACAATCAGCAAATCAAGTCCATAGAGGTTCGTCAAGAGAAAAAGATTGATACCTCTAATTTCTGTATTAATTAATTTTTTTTTTAAATATTCAGCACCAAACACGACTTCCGCTGCTTGAAAGTGGTTTACGAAATTTCAATGCAATAACCGGACTGGTTTGAAAATTACTATAAAAAAATGATTTTTTAACACTCCAACAACATTTATCTCGCAAAGGACCCAATCAAGGAAAATCAACTTGTATATTGAAAATAAAACGTTCAAATGGAAAGTGACAAAGAAAATTTTATTATTTTAGCCAAAATTTACCAGGAATCAACATTTCTACCTTTGAGATGCAGGAAGGCAGTGCCCTTTTACATGAAAATGTATTTTCTATTAAATATACATAACTATTCTATTCTATTACTATTTGCTAAAGTTTTGCGTCACTAAATTAAATTAAACAACAAATGGAAATTAAAAAAATACATTTTTCTAAAACAAATGGGATTTGTGAATGATGGAACATTAATACATAGTAGCGCAGCAGATTGAGTTTATTAACAATATTATAATGATACTGGATATCAAATTTCACTTTTCCAGTTAATGAAGATTAAATTTAATTTCCAAATTTAGTTAGGCACTACTCTCTAAGAATCTCAAAATATATCGAAATGTGCACTTCAGAAAATGTATTATGAATGCATTCTAAATTCAACTACAATGACTTTCTACCAGATTTTTCTGAGGTACCAGTTTTGGGCCTTCATTCTTCTATTCAAGCATCTTCGTTCCAACGTAAATCCCTCTTAAGTTCCTTTTAATTATTATAATTAATTCAATCTGATAGTTTTCGTAATATGTGGTAACGTATAACACATTGATTTCTTCTTGCAGTACCTGCCATTTTTACCATTAAAATTTAATCCGCCCATATACGTGGAAACCCAATACGAGGCAACACCATCGCCGAATTACGATGACTACCAATACGAACCGCAGTATCCGGTGACTACCAAATACGTCCAGGTGTACAAACCCACGCCGAGACCGGTCGAGTATCAAAGACAACCTCCCGTGGCGACTGCAGCACCTACAACAACTCCCACCCCCGAAATAGTGACTCCGGAGGTTCAGTATCATCACCAAACGGTAACTCCTGCCTCAGTCGTCACGCAGAGTAGCGCGGAGTACTACCAGGACGACATTCGTCATGCGACTCCAAAGCCGGTAGCTTTCATGCATCCAGGTGATGATCCTAACGGTCTTGCTAACATTTTAAAGCAACTACAAGACACCAACGCATTGCCCCAAACCTTGACGCCAGACAACATCGATAGCAGCATAAAAACACTGGTGAAAATTCTAGAGGAATTGAGAACAAGACAGGTATGTATATTGCTCGTTTACGATATAGAGGTAGTTGGAACGAACACAAGCAAGAATAATAATAATAACGCTTTATTGTCAAACAAATAACACCAGTTTTACAAAGAATTAAACATAATGGCTATCAAAATTAGAGAAACGAGAAAGTGGGGCACTCGTTCCTGCATTGATATATGTAGTTGGTTGAAGGAAGGCTATTCTTTACCAATTCTAGGCTTTCTATCCCTCGTCCTACTAGTTCACTAGTTATAGAGTGCTACACCAAATGTACTTAATTAGAATAGCCTACGCCAATGTAATGCTTAATTTAAGTAATTTAGTAATTTCTAAGGATTCTCAACTCAAGAAGACTAATATAATACAGTACGACTCATTATTCATAGCACATTTGTATTTTGTGCTTGTCACTTTTGATAAATTAAGGCTTTGGATATAATATTTTTGGCGCTCCCAAGAAAACAATGCATTTATAGAAAAAACAAACCAAACCTTAATGAGGGTCCAGAGAAAATAAAGAAGTTGGTAATAGCTTGGATAATTTAGTTAGAAGTGAAATGATTAGTGGTGCCAACCATTATTCTGCCAGTAACATAAAGTAAATTAATAATTCAAAAGTTAATTCATTAAAGTCTAGTTCAAATTCAAAATAAATGTAGTAGTTTCTGGAGTTTCGGAAAATTCATGCCATGAAGCTAGATATTTCACTATTTCATAGTTACAAGAAAATTATTGGTGGAAAATTATTATTCCACAAACGAAAAATCTAATAAATAATAACGTTAAGTGTCAATGACGAAAAGAGAGAAAGCAGAGAATTCTATTCCAACGTCATTTATGTAACACTTGGGTTGACGTTTTAGTATGTCTGACGGTGCCCGTGTGTGCGATTCACGTGAAACTATTAGTAATGATAATAATAAGATAATAAGATCTTCACTTGTCAGGTGTTGGTTCATAGAATGAGCCAAAGATAATATCGCTTAATTTTCCAATAAAGTGCAATAAAGAAAAGAAGATAATAGTATATTATGCAACAAGTGCGGTAAACGGCATTTGACTCACGAGTTTATTTATCATGAGCGGAGCGAGTGTTTAACAAACGAGTGAGTTAAAAAGTTTACCGAACGTGTTGCATTCTATACTTTTTCTACGACCGCCATGAAAAATTCACAATTTAACCAATTAAAAATAATAACAAGATTATCGGATTACTAAAACCTACTCGTTTATCGTTCCGATCAGTTGTGCTATTGTTGTTTCTCTTTGACTGTGTACTTTAGACAGAGAGAGATGTATTATTGAATATGTCATATAAACAACGGAATAAACACAATTTTAAAGCGTTATTTTATTTATTTAACTTTTACAATTGACCATTAAGTAGTTTATTTAAAGAAAAAGACCGTAATTGGAAAAAAATTCAACCAACGATACAGCTTTTAAGAAAATTAAATTTTTAAGATCGTATAGGCAAGAAAAAGCAAGTCCTAACCTTCAATGTTGTTTTGTTTGTGCTGATGAAACACGATATTTGAAAATGGTACAATTGGTCTTGGCAAGGTATTAATATGAAAACTGTAAAAACAACTAAAGTTCATGCAAACGGTATATAAAATTTCTGTGGGAAACTTAAATTATAAATGTTACTTTACTTACCGACTAGTCCACTGGATTTTATTTGTAGCTAATAGCACGTGGTATTTAAATTGTCTAATATATTGCATAACATTTTCGTGTGTATTAGTTTTTGGGTACATTTTTGCAAAACAACACCAATACATGACCGTCAGAACTGACAAACGTCAAATCTCAAACCGTGCGGTAACATCTCCGAAAACATGCGATTGCTCCCAAACCTATGCGGTAATATCCCGGAAATGTCCGAAAGGGCTCAGATCTGTGGGACAAGAAACGTACGTGGTAAAGTGGCGCTTTCCACATGCTAGATTGGTGTATAATTTGTTATTTTACAAAAGGGAGTAGAAATAGTATATTGTGCAACAAGTGCGGTAAACGGCATTTGACTCACGAATTTATTTGACACGAGCGGAGCGAGTTTTTAATAAACGAGTGAGTTAAAAAGTTTACCGGACGTGTTGCATACTATACTTTTTCTACGACCGTTAGTTTTTGGGTACATTTTCGCAAAACAACACGAATACATTCATTGACATGATCGTCAGAATTGACAAACGTCAAAATTCAAAGCATGGGAAATATCTCCGAAAACATCCGATTGCTTCCAAATCCGTGCGCTAAAATCCCGAAAATGTCCGAAGTCGCTCGGATTCATGGGAAACGAAACTGACGTGGTAAAGTGACGCTTCCCGCACGTTAGATCGGTGTATCGAAATGTATCTAATCATTTACAAACAGCTGCTGAAAGAATAACTAACATCTTCGAAAGGTCTGTTGAAACTTTTGGACGCCCGTAAAGAGGGACAAAATAATTACTTTTAAAGACGACACTAAGAAGCCCATAAGTTATAAGACAATACCTGGAGACCAATATTTTCGACACAAGATCCTGTGCCACACAAAATCAGAAACATTTTGGTTTTGCGATGTTCTGATGCAACCTGCAACAGCAATTTGTAAATGTGTAGCGCAAGAATGTAATTCCAAATTCTGTAGCAACAAAGATATAATAGGCACAGCGGAACCTTTGGCTGAAGATTTCTAAATGATTTTGAAAACAATATATTTTGCCTAATAAAAAATTCAGAAATAAAAATGTTCATTAGTTCATTAAAATTACGTCTATACTTTCTTGATTCTCCTAATCATCAGCTTATGATAATATATTCTTTGTTTCGATAGCTCAGCATAAACGTATTTTCAAACACATACCTACCGCGGCGCTATGTCCTCATGTATTTTACTCCATTTCATTCGCAGCATAGAGTATGAAACTTTTCCAAATAAAAATGTTTCTCGCTCGCTGACAATGTCAATACAAAAATTCCAATTTTAATATTTGAGGTCTTGAAAATTATGAAAAATAAAAAATCTGAAAATTATATGGTCTCTATTATCATTGCTTACGTATATTTTCCAAATAGAATAAAAAATCAATCAGATGTGTTGAATAGTTTCAGAGTTATTTGAAGGTGAACAATAAAAAACTTTTTTTTTTAATTTCCTCATTTTTTCCAGTTTTTTCGATATTACAAAACTCAGTACTACTAAACAAAGTCAAAAAGAAAGCGACTTTTACAGGCTTTGTTACTCCACTAAATGGAATTATTACAATTATTATTTTGATGTGTTCTGTAATTCCAGAAGCAACGGCGACCGCCGATCATTCACGACGAATACGATGAAGATATCTACAACGAAGCGGGGGTTGATCTAGGTGGTCCCGACGGCGAAGGTTTCGATACCCCCGACGGAGGAACCCCCGGGAGACCCGGAGTGGATTATCCGGCATTGTCGACGATCCCGCCTACCAGTTTCAGTTGCAAGACGCAACGGTACAAGGGATTTTTCGGAGATCCGGATACCAACTGCCAAGTAAGATACGCGTGTTCAGCCAAAATACCAGAAACTTGAATAAGCTAAGCTAATCTCTTTTAACCTTCCTACTACTAATATATTTATAAAATAAATATATGAAATCGTTTAATCTTTATCTTTATGAAAATGGCAAATTATTTGTTTAACTAAATGCCCTGCACCTATTACATTGAAAACAAAAACTGTTATTATAAATAAATGATTTTCTTGAGATCTCGGTATAACATCAGTCTTAACAATGACATTTGTGAAACGTGACATATTTCTTCTTATTATCATTATTACTATTATAAGAATCTTCTTTCTGTGGTAAGTTGGCACTTCAGTTGGCTACCACCATTCTCGAAACTGCAGCACTCTATAGAGGCACATTTCGAACGCACTATCCATAGAAAAACTAACACAAAGAGAAGCGATAATACTTGTCGGTATAGTCAGTCTAAATCGTCATTGTATTGACCTTCCTATTGTTATTGCCGTTACCAAAAAAAGTATTCTTGCTTTAGTAACAAGGCAGGGCTGGGCCAGGTATATTTCTTTTTTTCTGATATATTTCTTGTGTTGACCATTTGTGGCAGTGTTGAATAATCGTTATAACTGTGCGTTTCCAAAAAGGTATTTTACTAGAATATAAAAATGTCGCGTCGAAATCATTTGTCGCTTGATGCAAAACAAGTTGTGAAAAATGTGTATGAAACTTAAATTAGTAGAGGACTTATTTAACAAGAAGGGATATTATGAATAGTGGAGAATTGAAGAAAATAAATAAAAACTGAAAAACAAGATAGAAGATAAGATCAATATAAATATAAGCCGTGCCACCCTCCATGGAGTTGTTTGTAAAAAGAAATTAAAAGATTAGACAACATATACACACTGTACCCAAAACTGTCAGACAAAAGCACCTTCAAATAAAGGAAAACGCACTATAATACACGCTGGGTCAGAAGACGGATTTGCCCCAAACTGCTTGCTGTTGTCTGCAAAGACTAACAAAAATTCCAGCTTGGATTATCATGAGGATACAAGTGCCGAACTTTTTGAACATTGATTTCAAAACAATCTTTTAAAAAATATTCTCAATAACAGTGTTATTCTCATGGATAACGCAAGCTACCACAGCCGTCTGCTATACAAAGTACCAGCCTCATCAAATTCAAAAACTGAAATCCAGGAATATTTTGTTAGAAAATGATATTTATTTTGAATCTAATTACAGAGTACATATGCAATTAAACAACAGTGTGTATTCGATAATGCATATCATTGCATGTTTAGACCAGTTGAACAACAGTAAGATGATGACCTTGAGTTGACGGGTATCCACACTACTAAACTGAGAGAAGTAATTCCGTAGGGTAGATGTGACGCGATCGTCAGAACTGACACACATCATAATATCATGGCTATTAGATCCGATCGTTCACAAACACACTTCCCGCATGCTCGATCGGTGCAAAGTTGGATAGTTTAGAATAGGGAGTAGAAAAATATATATCGAAAAGATTAATACAAAAATTGCTCTCTAATATATGGTAAATTATTTATTTCTCAATTCTGAAAACTAATTATACCAAAGCACATTAAACCCACCTACATCACGAAATTATTTTTAATTAATTAACATTTATTTTATAGGTTTTGCACGTATACCTTAAACTCGTTTTTGAAATTCCAAAGCATTTTTATTAATGCCTTATGAAATTGGCGGACTTTTTTTAATATGAAGCTAAAAAAAATGTACGATGTTTGCTGAATTCTGAGTGCATATGTGGCACGCATTTTTTCAACAACGGGATTAAATTTATAGCCCCCTCAAAAACAAAATATAAAAAATAAAATAAATCTACCATATTCCATAAGTTAATATGTATACAAAATGGGGTCTTAAAAACAAATATAAGTTGTTTGTTATATTCCGACCGTTTCAACGTACGCATGGCAGTGCACAGTCCATTTTCTTTTTTTCACACAACCAATAAATAATGCATTAGTAACCTAGCACAATAATTATTAACATGTACGTACATAATCGCAAAAATATATTTATTGATACGAAAATTATACGTGACGGGGTAGTTTTATTATTCAGCTTAAACAGTGCCGATTTTTGGTTAGAGAATGCATTAGTTGAAATTATTGCCGAATTGATTTTAACGTACATTTGCTTATAATTAATAATACACGCCATGTATGTATAAATTTTGGTTTTGAAGTTTGTTCGCTGTATTGTTCCGCAGTTGTGCTAACATCTACGGGGAATGTTTATTTGGTGTTCAATTTCATATACAAATCAAATCAGCCGCTGCTTAATAGCTGCTTTTATTTATTGACAAACCCAAGACAGACAGACCAGTCCGTATGATGACATAATAGAGCATAGTAAACTTATAAAATTAATACAGAAATTATTTTTAAAAACTAATATAAATTATTAGAAATTTTTTTTAAGGGTTTGTTTTAAACAAATTGAAGCTTAAGTAGAGTAAATCAGTATCGTCGCTGTTCAGACAAACACAGCATACATACGAGCATACCTAATAATTGTTTGAGAAGTTTGATCTGAATCTATTTATGGAAAATGTATGCCTTTTGAAAGAGTTAAAGAAAAGTTACACCTAAAACATTGTTATTTTCTTGCCTCTGTTCTAAATTTCAGGTTTCTAAAATGCTTTTTTGGATACTCTGCATTGATTTGTGGTTGGCAATGGCCTTAATCGTACATAATGCGAAACCTAGATTTCTTAGGCCTCTTTTTGCAATATTCTCTAAGTTTTGGTTAACTGGTTATTGTCTAATTTTAAATTAATGCTGGCAGTTTTTTTCTAAAATTTTTAGGTACTTGGTAAATATGGGTAGCTTTTACAATGAATTGGGAATGGATTTCTTTTCTTACATATGCGAATAAAGCTGGTATTGGACGTTGAATACAATTGCCAATAGCACATATGGAAAAAAGTAGAAAAAATAATAGTGTCGATAAAAGGAATAAAATTTGTAAGTACTTCAGGTCTTTTGTTGATTAACTTCCATGACATTTTTTAACTCGAAAAATAATTTTGAGTATGTAGTGGCTTTAAACATAAATATGAGCGAGATGAACCTGTAATTAGCTCATTTTGCGGCATCACCAGACTTCAATTACAATTTGTGCAACTTTCCAACGTTTTGGAAATGTACCACGTACCAAATAATGGATGTTTTTTTTCGATGTATAGAACTTTAAGTTGGCATTATTGTTCAAGATAGCGCCCGATTTAACAGCTGTCAAGTGATTTATTCTCAGTTTGGTTTGGCAATTCATCATGAATAGACTCACGCTTGAACAACGCTTGCAAATAGTGCAATTTTATTTTGAAAATAATAGTTCTGTGCGGAATACGTATTGCGCACTACGTCGATTTTATCGTCGACAAAATCATCCATCAGAGCAGTTAATTCGATTAACCATGCAACGTTTTCGCACCACGTTTACTCTTATCCGTTTACTCTTATACGCCGTACGGTGCGTACAGAAGAAGCTATTGCTGCTGTAGAGCGTAGCATTGAGGAAGACCCGAATTGGTCCATCCGCCATCGAGCACAGGAATTGGATTTGTGTCCATCCACTTTATAGAAGATTTTGAGGAAGGATCTTGGTTTACGTGCTTACAAAGTGTATGTCGAAACACCGTTACATTCAGAAAAACTGATTGTTGGGTGCGCTTTATGGGCTAGTGGAATCATTGGTCCGTACTTCTTCAAAAAACGATGATGCCAGAACGTTACAGTCAGTGGTGATCGACATAGAGCTATGATTACTAACTCTTTGATTCCTGAATTGAATAACCATGATGTCCAGGAGATGTGGTTTCAACAAGACGGTGCAACATCTCACACAGCTCGTGCCACAATCGATTTATTGAAATGCAAGTTTCGTGACCGCCTAATTTCACGTTTTGGACCTGTGAATTGGCCTCCAACATCTTGTGATTTAACACCGCTAGACTACTTTCTGTGGGGCTATGTAAAGTCATTGGTCTATGCGGATAAGCCACAAACACTTGACCATTTGGAAGACAACATTCGCCTTGTTATTGCCGATATACGGCCACAAATGTTGGAAAAAGTAATCGAAAATTGGACGTCCGCGCCAGCCGTAGCGGCCACAAGATTATCTTTCGGATAAATAAAATTCATGTCAATCGAATAATCCATCGTTGTTTTATTGCAAGTTGAAGTTCTATATATCGAAAAAAAACACCCCTTATTTATGAAAGATACTAGCAGCAGTGCTATAGTTGACCAATTATCTTAAAAGCTGAGGGGGTAGTTCTAGCCCCTTACTTAGATCTACAGGAATATTTTTCGAACAAATTCTTTAGAGAAATTGTAGATTTCGACACTTTGAATTCGAGTTAAGGTTAAAGTCTCTGTCACTTATTCTTCTTAATTTGTTTTATGCAATATTACTTCTTTGAATAAAATGGAACATCACTGCTAAGAACTGAATTACAAACAACATGCCATGTTATAATGTAAAAAAAATATATTAAATTGCGATTGTTTCGGAAATCAGCAGTTCTATTTAAGAAATTGAATTTTATAATAAATGAATGAATGAGAACTTCTTTATTTGACTTAAAGACAAAATTCCGTGTTATAACATTAACTAAATTTACAAACCTTTCAAATTGCAACTATTTCAAAAACCACCAGTTATTAAAATATTTAACGAAATTAATCGCAAATCACTTTGCGCCACACACATTTTTGGTGCGTATTATTGTATTATTATTTTTATTATAATTCTATTACTTCTTATATCAAATAAATTGTGGAATTTATGGTTACATGCATAACAACTAGATATTACAAAAAAATATTACTTTTTCAAATACAATTTACAATTTACAATACACATACAATACAATATACAATTTACAATTTTCTTAAAAGGAACTTTCGTTTATTAAGGTGTGGCACTACTGCGACTTAAACGGGGGTCAGGCCTCATTTCTGTGCCCTAACGGCACCATTTTCAGCCAAGTGGCATTGACCTGCGATTGGTGGTACAACGTTAAGTGTGCATCTACCGCTCAACTCTACGTCTTGAACGAGAGGCTTTACAAATACATCATTCCGCTGGCACCCAAGTTTCCTGAAGACTACAGCGGACCTCTAGTAGATAAGTAAGTCGGTATCGTCAAGTCGGATTTTCCTCACTCACTTGCCCCCTGTCTCCAGATATTTAGCTCTGAAATTCCAAGAGATGGAAGAAAAGCTTCGAAAGCAAAAGAAGGGCAAAGGCAAAGCGAACTCGGAGGAAGACAAAGACGACGAAAGCGAAGAGACAGTAACTGTCACGTCGGAGGAAGACAAATCGGAAGAAATGGTCGACGTCCCGGAAAGCAGTGAGCAATAGCGTAGGGGGCTCGTACGTAAATTAAAATGACTCGAAGCTGCCATAATTTCATTGGCAGCAAACAATTTTCTACTCTTCAGTCTTCGGTGTATTTTGTTTGCTGCTCCGTTATAAAGCCAATTGTCGTATTGATTGTGTATATCCCATACGATTTCATATCTCGTTTTTCATATAATATATAGTCCAACAGCTCCAGTAGAGTAAAAGAACTTTGTATTAAAAAATGCATCAACTTGGTTAAGGCTAGGGTAGAAACCGGCTTTGCAAAAAATTTAATATTAATGCAAAACTTATAACAAGCATAAGTTAAAAAATATAAAATTTTCAAATCCAGCTAAATGGCACCAATAAAAATGGTGTCTAGATCAATTTATACTCAAAAAAACTATCAGTTTAAATGAAATTTAAATATTTCAACTACGTCTCTGATACAACTGATAGTATGAAAAAAGATTAAGTAACATTTTTGTGGCAGAGACCACTAAAATCCAGACTTCCACAGGCTACTGTAATACTTTTTATAGAACTTCTGGATTCCTCCTGCGTCGGTTTTTGTTGACTCGAACTAGCTAACGTTTCCCCCATCATCATGTTGGCTTCTTCAGAGCTTGACTGAAACTGGCACGCATTTTACTCTGTACCTGCTTTTGCATTGTTTGACGGGTGGCGGAGCTAAATGAGGGGCAGGAACAACGTCTCGGCTGACTGATTTCCATATTGGACCTGATTCGCGGTTAAGATTGTTAGGTTGCTTATATATTTCTATAGACTCGTATTTTTCGCTGTTAGACGAGTTGATTACATACAAGAATTTTAGTTTTATGGAATAAAAACCTACGCACACAGACCGATACCTTAATGCATTGTCATATCACCATCTTGCTCAAAAATCATCGGTTATTAACTCTCTTGTTTACAGAGCCGTAAAACTATCTCAGCCCGAGTCACTGACCTCAAAATTAAAACACCTTACCTCTGCTCTTCTCTCTTCTCTCTATAATAATTTCCACATTAAAGATATTAAGTGTTTGATCAAAAAATACACTTCACTACAACCTTCCAAAAGCAATGAGGCCGAAAGCAATCGTATACTTGCCACCTACATTCAAAATATCACTGACCACATATCAAAAGAAGTGTAACCAGATTTACCACTTGTCCAAAATCTCTCGACATCTTCGGTCCGTCAAAGATAACATTCCATTTGGGATGTCAGGAGTTTACAGCATTCCGTGCATAAGCGGCAAAGAATACATTGGAGAGACCGGACGAAAAATATCAACTAGCCTCAAAGAACATGAAAGAGCCTTAAGACTAAGACAACTAAAATCATCAGCAATTGCCGAACACAATCACGAAACTGGACATCAAATTTTATTCGATAAAACTAAAATTCTTGCATGTAATCAATTCTTCTACCAACGAAAAATCCGCGAGTCTATAGAAATCTATCACCCACCTAACAATATTGATTGGTCTTTACCTGTCACCAATATGGGAATCGGTCACCCGAGACGGTGTTTATGCCCCTCATTTAGCTGCGCCCCCCTCAAACAATATAAAAGCAAGTACAGAGTAAAACGCGAATCCGTTAAACTCAAGCTCTGAAGAAGAAAACATGATTTTTGGCGAAACGTTAGCTAGTTCGACTCAACAAAAACCGATGCAGGAGGAATCCAGAAGTTTTATAAAAAGTAATGCAATTTTTTTTATTTTTATTGCAAATCGGGTTTCGAATATAATAGATCTTTGATATATTTCTCAATACAAATCTTTTATGAAGATTTAACTGGCGTTAATTTTATAAATCTTTAATAAGTTCGCTTTGCACTGATAAAAACCACTGAAAGTCACTGAAATCCCAGTATGAGTTCAAATGTTTACATTTTGTCTTTTCTCACTCTCATAAAAATTGAGAAAACTTTGTGAAAATCGAATACCAAAAACAAAATAGGATTTGTATTTCAAGATTTTTGAAAAAATCAAATTAAATAGTCGCTTACCTTGCTTGCTAAGCTAAAAAATGAATGCAATGAGTATACTTTTAGTTCAATTAAAAAAAAAACTCTCTTCTTTTACTTTTATTGAATGCTCCATTTATTTACAGATTAAGGAAATAATCTCAATGGTAATTAATATGTAGCCTCTGTCATTAAAAATGCAATATTACAATTACAGGATACTAATTACACGTAATTTATTATTGTGTCAAAACTTTGTACTCTGTACTTAGTTTAAGTATGTTATGTTGTGCAGAAACACCCTGTCTGTATTTAAAAAAATTATATTATGCACCAGAAATATTCTAAATATGTGCGAAGGATTAAATTCGCTATTAGTAAATTAAGAACATTGATGCCAGCTTGCATTAATTTTTTAAGTATTTATTTTCTAGTCATAAAGTTACAATGGTAGATTCGACCTAGGTCAGTTTATATAGCATAGATTACGTTCAGTTGGAAAATAATCCAGATCGCGTAAGGGAACAAACCGCAGGTGACACCAGGATAATCATAAGCAGATGCTAGTAAACCGCGACATTAACGGCGGGACGAAATTTTTCATTTATAACTTAAAACTAGAAAAATTAATAAACAAATCGAGATCTTCATTGCAAAAAGGCGTATCTCAAGTTGAATTAAGCAAACGTTGTTTGGTTACAGATACAGAGTGTTAAAGGTTTTTGTTGCAAAAATTGAAAATTTTCTATAATTATAATAAATTTTTAAGTGAGAAATATTTTTTATTATTATTTATTATATTTTAATGTAGCCAATTATATCAAGAAAACGTATCGTACTTTTTATCTATAAAAATAGAACAAAGCTAAATAGAAATAGAAAAAGGACCCTTAACCGTTCTCGAGATATTACAGGTCAAAGTTTTACTGCATTTTATGAGAACATTGCCTAAATTGGCAGCTACGGCTTTTTTCAATAAGAAACGCTTCGTTAAATAATAGTATTCGCCTGTTTTTAATAACAGGTCATAAAGCTTAAACTTAGTGTTATAATATAAACATTTTATTACATGGTTTTCTAAAGATGTTGAAACAGTGGATTATTTATAATTTAATTGGCAGCCTCTCGAATTTTTTCGCCATTGCTCTTAACAGAGCTAAATGAATTTAGATCTTCCGAACAGCCAAAAAAATTTACTTCCGTTCTTGTAAAAAAAAATCAAAGGTCTTCTCGGACAACTTAGTATTAGTATAACAAGATAAGCAATTTAATGCTCTAATACATACACTACAACTTTGCTTGAAAATGCAGGTAAAACAATTAAGGAATATGATATTGAGCAAGAGTACATTGTCTATCATAAAAGGTCTGTTCTTAAGTTTCTATTTAATTTTGTTTTTTGTTTTGTTCATGTAAGCAACCTCTTAAAACGAGCTTACATATTCCAATATCTCCCCTAAAAATTTGCAGAGGTGTCAGTTTTCATGCCAAAATTATTGCAAAATATAGCAAAGATTTGCTGTATTTTATAATAATTTTTTAAGTAATATTTTGTAATATTTTCGCGCCCTTTGCCCCTAACATTTGCATAAGGCAGGTAATAGGTATCACGATCATCAATTAAAACTAGAGATAGACATTTTTCTGTTCCGTACATAGATGGAATTTAGGAACACTCTGTATGTATAATACAAAATAAATAATTTTGGTGACAAATTTACAATTAATTATTCTGTAAAGTATTAAATGAAAATTAGTGACTAGTAAGTTTGTATAATAAAATATTTTGTATAGGGTGGGCCAATTTCGATCAGATTTGATGGTTTTGGGAATCTCGGTGTATCAACTTGTTTGCGAACCACATTTTAAAAAAGTATTTTCACCATATATTGCGACGTTGAATGTCTAAACAATTACCACAGCAGGCATGTTATATCTTAAAAACTAATTGCAATTTGACACTTGCATTTGAACATCCAGATGTTCCCTAAAAAAAATAACAATCAATAAAATCCCGAATTATTTTAAAAAAAAAAGTGTTGATGTCTTTTCAAAAATAAGTTCAAGTGACAAAATGAGGTTTCTCTACACGTTATGCTCAATTCCCTTCGAAATTATCCCACCCTGTACTTTTATTATTCCACCGTAGTTATTTTGGAAAATACTTTGTTTCTAGATTTTATTTCATAATCAATAAAAATCTATTACACAGTTTTGTAAATGGATATGACGAAATTATTGTAATACATCGACAAGCTGAAATGATATACTATCCCATGAAAGGGAAATTAATACCCTGCGTGTCTGTAATTTTTAAACAGACTATAAAATGAGGCACGCCGCTGATAACTAATCGCCGCATTAAGGACTAATTATAAGGACGCTGCAATAAACATTATATTCATTAAAGTCGTCGCTGGACGACATTTTAGAAAATCTAAACGTGCTTAGGTTTGAAGTTGGAAACTAGTATTTATTTATCAGGCTTGTATAATTCATTTATATATGCGTAGTATAACATTTAAGGTTGTAACTATTATGATTTTTAATGATAAATAAATATCCGTTTCGTATTTTTGTTAATAAAACCGCAACGAAATACAAAACTGCGTGTTATTTCGCCTTTGTCACCAATTCGAACGTCGTCCCCATCTTAGTGGCCCGCAAAAGAGGAAATTTAAACTGTTTTTTTTATCAGAAAAATAAATTAGGAATTCGCTGGAAATGGGACTAAAAATGTTTCCAAGTATCACAAGCAAAGTGCGCTGACGTAATGATTGCGAAGTTTAAATCCCGGGTATTATAATTTTGCAGAAGCGTTTTCAACTTTCATCGTTCGAGGAATATATTAAAGTGATACATTTTTGTTAAGGAATGATCTTTTACCGTAACAATAAAATAATTCGCGAGACGGAAACGAGAAAGCCGCAGAGGACAGGATGTTCCTGCTACGCAAAGAAAATTCTACCCAGTGGCTTTGAAACAAATTCGACAATTCATATTCCTGTTGAAACAGGTTCATAAAAATAATAAACTGATTA